AGATCATAATTTTTTTTCGCTTCTCTCTCAGTCCATGTTGAGTGTGGTACACACCATGTCACCAAACAGCACAGTTACTACCTTTGGCCCCATAGGCCCACTGACTGATTACAAAAGTGTAGACTCCTGTAATGTTCCTTCATTGACACACTTCGGGTGTGTTCGATTTTAAAGGCTGCATCCTCCAAGGACCTGGTCTATCTGGACTGGATCCTTTGAGGTCTGTGAAAATAAGGTTATCAGAAGAGTTTTGGTTGTAAATGCAAACAGGTCCAGCCTTCCGTGGCTTTTGCCACTGCACGCTCTGTCAACTAGCAACCATGACAGTTGACACACAAAGAATGAATACTGAACTTCTCACTGCTGTTTTGGGTATTAATACATTTTTGAGTAGCTTCGACAGCTGACTCATATCAGATTTATAGTCCCAAACACTGCAGATAGATTAGAATCTGTCCTTAAATATCAGCCAAACCCATTTACATAGGGACAGATAAAAACATTTCAACACACATTAACTGTCACATATCTGACTCAATAACCAAAAAAAAAACATTTTAATTCATTTTAGACAGAATATTCACATAATTGTATCACATTAAACTGCACTTCCAATATTCACCACTGTTCGGCAGCGCAGACAGACCGGCTTCCTTGGACTCCCAATGAATCACGGGTTATCCAAGGCTACATAGGATAAAATGGACCCGTCTGTCAAAATTAAGAAAAAGACGGATGCTTTTGTCGGCTGTATAACAATGGGTCTTGCAATCTGAACGGATGTAATCGGCCAAAAATCTGGACTTCGGAGGACGCATCCCATGAATTTGAACTCAGTAACTGATTTAACTTGAGCCTTTGGTCCCATTATTTTCAGTATTCACCATTATTTGGAACCAGGATTGCTTAATGAGTTTATTTTTTTATTATCTTTTTTAAGCATTGTTGTAAAGCAATATCTGTACTTGTTAATTTTTCATATAACTTGTTCTTTTATTCTAACTCTCTTAGATTCAAGTTATTTTTGTAACCATTGTGGGGTTTTCTTTCATCTAACAAGGAGTACCAACAACTTTGTATGTATGAACACTTTGTTTATTTTAATAGCCCTTAACTTCTACTTTTTCTGATATGCACCTCAAAAAACCACTTTCTGTTTTTCTTTGTAAAATATCCACAGCTAATACCTTGTTCGGTGAATTATACAGTATAAAGTTTTGAGAAAAATTAGTGTATAGCTATAAACCATGACTGAAAATTGTAAAACTATTAAGTATTTAAAAGTTAAAAGATGAGTTCTGTATTAAAGTACTACAACTTTGATCCATAATCTTAATCTTCAGCACAATTACAATAAAGTTGTCGAACCATCAGTTATAGCTCTCCTCAAGCCAAACTTGAACAGGTATTAATTGTAAGTCGCCATCTTTTCTTATTATTGATGACAATGAAAGGATGAGTAATAGATCATTTTAATGAATTTTTGTCATACAAAAAAATGAATAAAAGCAAGAGTAAGTAGAATGAATCAATATGGTACATTCCATGCTACTGTATAGCCAAATTTCACATTCTGTTGAAAGTAAACTACCTGAATTTGCAACTATCCTTCAGCTGTATTCTGCTTTCTTTTCATAATAGTATGAGTACTTTGGTAATTGCCTCTTGAGGCACACAGATGAGGGAGGGGGTATAATTTCCCTGCAGACAGCATTCTCACTTTAGATTGATAAGCGCTTACTCTGCCAACAAACCATCTGAATTATGATTATTGGTGATAATTTGATTCCATCAACTAAGTACCTGAACAGCAACAAGATTAACCCATGGAAGATAGGGACTAAGGCTTAATCTCCATGAAGGAGGGTCTAAATTCTAACCCACATATTCCATCCCTTCACTTTTTCAAGACCAGGGATTATAGTGTTTTTTCATGTATAAAGTAGGTATGGATTTAATGAGTGCTGCTCTTCTTTTTGTGTGAATCTTAGCATTTTCAGTGAGTGGAATAGGGTGTGGGAAAGGGTGATAGGGGTTTGAGGATGGTCTGGAGGGGGATTGTGCAAGTGAAGGTCAGATGTTCATTCATGTTTGAAAGTAAAAAAAATTTTTGGGAACTGTTTTCTTAGAAAAAAAACTGTTAAAAAAGACAAAAAACCCTCGACAGCCAATGTTTGAAAAGTTCCTCGTACTTGTCATCTTCTGCTTTATCCTGGACCGGGTTGTGGGGATAGCAGTCTAACTTACCTCTCCCCAGTCACCTCCTTCAGGTCTGCTGGGGGAAGCCCCAGGCCAGCCGAGACACACAGTCCCTCCAGTGTGTCCTGGATCATCCCCTGGACCTCCTCCCCATGGGACGTGCCTTGAACACCTCCCAAGGGAAGTGTCCAGGAGGCATCCAAAAAATATATCAGAGCCACCTAAACTGACTCCTGTTGATGTTTTTATGCTGGTGAACTCAAGCACAAAAGTAGTTTAATATACTTTTGAGGCTGTTTATGTTTTGACATAAATGTGACACAATAGACTTCAGCCTTGCTGATGAATGAATCCAGCCCCGAGCACCCAGTCTCTACTTCCATCATAGAAGGCGTATCAGCCGGATTGAGGAGATCCTCAAGGTATTCCTTTCACCATCCAACAATGTCCTCTTTCAAGGTCAGCACTCTACACCCACGGAAACAGTTATCAAAGCAAAGATTCTCCCTCTAGAGGTGCTGAATGGTTTGCCAGAATTGCTACTGTATAAGGCCAGCCAATAGTCTTTCTCCATGGCCTCTCCAAACTCATTCGAGGCCCCGAGGTTTTCCCTCTGCAACCTGGAGGGCAGTGACAAACTTGGCCTTATGATACCTTCTTACTGCTTCCGTAATCCTACAAGCCAACCAGGCCCTAAAAGACTCAATCTTCTGCTTGGCAAAAACAGGGTTCTTACTGGCTGACTCGCACGCAATCAGGTCATAAGCTAAGAGATTTCCAGGAAAAGCATCCAGTCGCATGTGCATCCACACAGTGCGATGTGGAAACTATAAATGCCCCCTAGAATGGACTGAAGGTGGAGGATAACTTAAATGTGACGATGCAATGCTGAATGTATGAAGTGTTTAAGACAGCTGTATGAATTCGGTTATGTAATTAAATAATTCCCCCCTCCGGATGATAAAATGGAGTGAATTGTGGCCTTCTTTCTGCCAAAAGGGAATTCTACCAATGAGCTTCCATAAATGGCGAGAATTCCCTAAAATTTCTTTGTTTTTTTTAATTTAAACTTCACACACACGTAAGTGGACTTAGTCACCTAGTATTCACATCACCATGTAACTTCCATAACGTCTCATGATGTTATGATGTGTTATTTAAAGACTTTGTCCCCAGTGATCTCTTCTCAGGAAAAAGAACTGGAGAGAGAAAGCTTCAAGGTGTAAAGACAGTGCCTTCTTTTAACAAAAGCTTTATATTTATAACACCAAACAGGAGTACTGTCCACAAGACTCATAGAGTGCGCACAGTACTCAAAGTTCACGTGGGAGCATTTAGTTTAGAAATCCAGCAGGTTATAAAATAATTCCTACTTAAGTGTAAATTGTGCTATGTTTTTGCTCAGTTCACAAATGTCTAACGATCAATTCTGAAACAGCCTCAGTTATATTCTAGCATTAAGTTATTGATTGTTGATCTTTTTGGTATTGAGAGAAGTGTGTTGGATCTCTAATGAAGATGGTTTAAAAAACGGTTTTATTTCTGTACAGCTTGAGCTGAGCTGAGTTTAAACAGCCGCAAAGAATGATACTTATTCAGAAGGGGAAAGGAGGACCAAAAAATGTAAAATCCAGAAGCAATATATCTGTCCTTTTGTTTTCATCATCATAAGCTACATTGCATATGTTTTTTTTTTTACCTTTATATTTTTTTGATATCCTACTTGATACTTTTATATCATCCTTTGGGGGAGCAAAACTCTGTCTGCGCAGACAACTGACTAGATCTTAGCCCAAAAGAAGCAAAGGTAGGGGAACCTGTTGGACTGAGCTAAACAAATCTGATCACATAAATCACTTCCCGTATTACTCCAACATTTATGATGCCTAAAGCTGAAGGATTAAGGCTGGTTTCATTTTCTTGTCATGTTTAAAATATAGTGTGTGTCATTATAAATATGTGTATGTATGAGTATGTCCTGGCATGAGGGGTAATGAAATTGGATTTACACATGCATGTACATGATTCATATCTGGAGGATGTGTCATATTGAAATATATAAGAGGGTTAGAAGGTTTAAACAAGCAGCTGAACATTGGAAGACAAATGAACAAAACATGATGAACAGCTGTTTATCTGCCTTCTTTTTACCTCCTCCACCATTCCCTCTCCTCAAATCTGCTGGTATTTACAGGGCCACTTATTTCTGTGTTTTTACAAATACCCACTTATTTTGCACCCAGCTGAATGTCCTCTAACAGTAGATTTCTGAAAACGAGATAAGGTCAATTGGTAGCCCTAAAAAGGAGACTGTCTCACCTTATCTCTCTCTGTTTCTTCCAGGGTAATGGCTTTATTAGATAGACAACCATACAGGCACAAAACCAAGCAGGCTCTTAAAGCTGGAAATCTTGCTTCTGACAAGGAATAAATCACCTATTTCTGATAGGATTGGTTCAACCAAAGACCTTTCTAAACAGCACTGCCAATATTTGGATTGTGTGGTTGCAAATCAGTGGGCGCTTTCACAAACTATTCCATAACAACTTTTCTTTACCCTCGTATGATAACCATCAGTTTGGCCAACAAATCCTCATGAATAAATTCTCAGAGTGGAGAGTGGAGGTAAATAAATGGAGAAGAAAGCAGAGCTAATGAAAAGAGAAAGTGACCTACTATAAAAAATTGGTAGCATAAAGTGCACTAAGGAGGGCAGAAAGGACAGGAGATAACATTCATACAAGCAGCACCAGCAGATAGATTTCACAAAGGAGCACACACACACACACACATATGCTGACCAGGTAGGAGTCGATGATCTCTCGGTCCAGTGAGCGGCTGACTGACACATCTCCAGTGTCTATGTCAATGGTGAAGAGACCTTTGGGATCTTGGTCAGCACCAGGGCCTTTCAGCCGGAAGATTTGGTTCATTGGCTTTGCTGGTGAAATTACCTGAAAACACAAACGGAGTTATCAGCAGCTTAAACATCAGTAAACTCCCTTCCATGGATTCACGCTTAGGTTCCTTGTATAATAAAGAGGTAAAATAAAAAGTAATGCACAACTAAAACTTAAGCGTATTTTATTAAAAGTAACTTTGTGTGTCTTGAATAGGGGGGAGTATTGGCATTTGTGTTGCAATACAATATATGTCATGATACTTGGTACACAACACAATATTATCATGATACTGCAATATCCCTATATATTGTGGTAGTTTTCCCAGCTAACAAATATTAAATGTATAGATAAAAAAAGCACATGCTGTAAATGTTTATCAGAAGATATTGATCATTTAGTTATATTGGTATCCATGTTGTTTGGGGCTTGAGTCAGTCCACATCTTCCACAGTGACTCCCTCATCTACAGATATGGTGCTGCGCCGCACAGTGAAAGGGCTCCACGATGGTGTCTAAAAGAGCATGGTGGCTCATTTTCCCTAATTTTTTAAGTAAAAATGTTTTTTTTATTTTTTTTTTTTATAGATACTAGGAACTGAACGATAGATATTATATAGGGCAGCTGAAAATCACAACTTATATATATCGCCATATCAATTTTTTCCCCCACACCCTTTGAATGATGGTGCAAAATGCCTAAAACAATGATGAGCTTACGTTAAAGCAAACATTATAAGCTTGATTATGGCCTGTTTGCTTGTATATATAGCAAACAACAGCTTTGTTAAATATCTCATATATACAAATTAACTTATAAGGATATGGTTCGATGATTGAGATGCCTCGTAGTTTTATTCTCTGACAGTTGTACTATCATGACAGAAGCATCCTGGTCAAAGGGCTCAAACTCACATGAGACTGTCGTTGCCAGCAGAGTCCACAGATTTCCCATCAGCAGGATCATGAGGGTTAGAGAAAGAGAGACAAAAACAGAGAGAATGTTAGAGCTGCACATTAGACCCTAAGCAGTCAGAAAGACCCACAACACAATAAAAATAACGGAAAGCCAAATCTTGTAGTATCTGACAAATAAGGCTCAATTACACAGAAAAAAAAATAATTACAAGAAACTTTTTTCTTTTAAGTAGACATATAAAAATTGCATAAAATAAGTGGCTGATTTTTCATATTGTTACAAAGAATTTTGATTGATATTATGAAAGCACACAAAACTGTTGCAGATTCATAAATGGCAGTAAAATGCAAAACCCTTGACGACAAAATTGCAATACAACCACGAAGACCTAGGAGACACAACATGCATCTGTAAAGCCTTCTTTACAAGAAATATTGTTTTACAAATACAAATCTGATAGGTGTCCTGAGCCTGAGTAAATACCCCCTGAGGCAATAGCTTATAGAACCATACAGTTGATTACTGCAGCTACAGCTTAAAGTCTGTCAAGAAGGTCTCTGTCATCTTTCTTCATCTACAGACTGAAAATGAGCTTTTCTTCTTCATTTAAAACATTGTGTTCCATAGGCTTTACCCATTCCTCACAGCACCACTCCATTCTACTTAGAACCTGTTGGTTTTCCACTGGTTAACAGCTGGAGTTTTGGCCCCCAGCCTCCTTTGATCTACAGCTGGCATCAGAGCTGGATTTATTTCCAACAATTTCTTTTTTCTACACAGATGACTGCATGGTCAGTTTCAGGGCTATGTTTGATTGTTTCTAAGGAAATGTACAGATCTGAACAGTTGATATTAGATTGAGGCTGGTATTAATCAAGACCCCCTTGATTGGTTAATATTTCTCATTAAGTGTGGCTAACCACAGGAGAAACAGTGGAAAAGGGGGCACAGAGCACTTTACCCTGAACACAACATCCCACTGGGAAACAAGGTGTCAACATCATTCTGTGGGGATGCATTTCTTTAGCAGAACAGGGATGCTGGTCAGGAATAATGGGAGGATACTGTAAGTGGTTAGAGGCTATAGAAGACCTGAAACTGGGCTGGTGGATAACCTTCCAGAGGGACCACCACCTTGAACAAGGACCAGCAATAGAATGTTTGGATCAAACCATATTTATTTGTTGAAAAAACCTTCTCAAGTCAGGATATAAATCCATTTGGGAATCTGTGGAGAGACTTGAACACTGATGTTCACAGATGTTCTCCTCTTTAAAGGTAGCAGAGAAAAAACAAAACAAATGTATCCATATTTTTTGTTCTCCTTAAGTGATGCACTATTTTTTGTTGGTCTCTCACAGTCTGCCCCAATTAGCTTGTGCTTATAGAACATAAAATAGAAGTTCAAAAAATGTTTTATTAATTTTGCAAAGTGTTGTGTCAGTATAAGCACTGAGGATTTTACCCTCAAACTATTTCATAATAAAGTTTCTATCACTTTGCTGCCTCCTCATAAACACATAAATACTCAGCAGTGACCTTAGTGCTGAGGCTATGAGTCAAGGATTTAAACGGCCTCACTGTGCAGTGCCCAAGGATCAGAGAAGAGGCATGAGGTTAGCTTTAATGAGAGTGTACTTCAATGGGACAGCAGCTAAAATGAAGGCCTTTCTACTTCCCACTTGAAAGAGCATGGGACATGAGGCTGCAGCATTACAAGCCTATGTCAGACAAAGCTTGAACACTCAGAGCCCCTCCAGAGCTCTCTGGCATTTATCTCCATGTCCTGCTTCATCTTCCCCCTCTGCTCCCTCTTCCTTTTAGGCTACTTGCTCCCCCGCTGCTTCATCTCTCTGATATGTCCATTCCAGCCCTTCTGCAAACTTCTATTCATCTCCCTCGTTTCATCCTTCTTTTTTTTCTCAGAGCTGCATCCTCTTAAACACATTCCTTCTGCCTGTGCTGTTTGCCTTTTAAAACAGGGGGAAAAAAGAAAATAAAAAAAACCTTCAAAATGTCGCCCTTTAACCAATCTTGTGCCGGCCAACTTTTTCTGACCAAATTATTTTCCTTGGATGGACAGACAGACAGACAGACAGACAGACAGACAGACAGACAGACAGACAGACAGACAGACAGACAGACAGACAGACAGACAGACAGATAGACAGACAGACAGACAGACAGATAGATAGATAGATAGATAGATAGATAGATAGATAGATAGATAGATAGATAGATAGATAGATAGATAGAACATCTAAGAACATCTTACTTTGAAATTCTATAAAAACCTTCCACTCTTCTTCGTATGATGGTTGTTATTGTGTTTCATAAAACATCTTTGTCAAGATATAAATGAATAAACTGTAGTCTAAAAGCTGTAGTTCTGCTCTAGATGAAACAGTCCTTGTCCGCTTTTCTCTTTTGGCAAGAAAAGCGCAGTCTGGGATACTCAATTCTTTTTATCCCTCAAAAGAATTTAACGTACAAGATTGAATTCTTGTTAGTACATCCAAAAGGGGTTCCAAACATGTTATTTTATGCAATATAATAGAAGCGCTTTACCTCTATAGTACATTTGTGACAACAACCATTTCCATTTTGCTAACCTTACTTCCACCCTCTCAAACACTCCTTCCCAGTTTTTCTGTGTCACAATCCCCCAAGTACAGTACAACCCAAGATGTTTCCTAAAGATCCCCTTACTTTGGCAGCAAGTGAGAACTGCTCTCTTGTGGCTCTGAGGTAGAAATCTGTCGATAAAGCTCTCTTCAAAAATCTCCATGGCATCAAGCAGAGGTCTGACCAGTAATCCCTCGGGAGTTCCCTGCACAATGTTCAAAATGTACTCAGAACTATACAGTTCAGCATATATATCTCCCACTACTGCCTGATGTCACCATCTGCAGTCAAAAGATCCCTCGCAGCTGATTTTAAACCATGGAAGATCTTGCCCTGTCTTTCCTTTTTTCCAACCGGGAGGAAAGTTTCTATACATGTCCATCAAAGCAGCTTTGTGGAAACCGAATCAAGATGAATATTACACCCAGATTATGTCTAAAACTGTATATTCTGTCCAACCTGGCTGCAGAAAAATAATTATCTGTACTTCTGGCCAATCTATATTGTTTGCCCAATGTATATTTTTCAATATACACTTCTCTTGACACGTCAGTTATATATTACATTCAGCAGTAACAGACTAATATAACACGATACAAGCTAAAATGAGATTATTATTACAGTTATTAAGGTGGGTAACGCATTGCAATCTGAGCTGAGTGGCCCACAGTCAACAGCTTAAATAAAGAGGAGAAAAAGACTTTTTTTGGGGGGGTGTTGCTTTATATCAGGAAGAGACGGTTTTAAAACAACAGAAGAAGATGATTTTAAAAACAAGAAAACCAAGATAGGTTTAAGTCAAAGGAAGAGTGCACTTTGTGTGCAGGCAGGTAGGCAAGGGAACTGTCTATGGCTAAAAATACCACAAGTAACCTCAAGAATCCCCTGGAGAGAGTGCACAGCATCCTGAAGCAAGAAGTCAGAAGATGATAGCAAATCTAAAAAACTAAAGTTGAATTTCTGCAGACCAGCTGTGATGATGTTTGACCCAGGAGAACTGAGAAGGCTGGCGGCCTTTTTTCTACAGCTTAGTTGCCGGTATATCAACAGTTAAAAAAAAAACCCTGTTCGACGAAGTGACAAGGTAAAAAAACTCTAATGATGTAGTAGTGTCAAAATATGAACAGGTTATCATAGATAGTTTATTTAACCCCTTGATGCCTGAATTTATATGCATGTACTAAAAATGCTTTTTGGCTATTAAGTAGTTGCCAAACAAAAAAGTCAGGCCATGTTAAGGTCTTTCTTGTTTAATTATTCTTTATCACATTTTCGGGATTCAGCTATTTATTGAAAAATATTGCAAACCTTCATTTGTAATGTTCTTAATGTTTATTTTAGCAAATGTAACTGTAAATGTAATATTGTAAAGAAACTTATTCTTTTCTTACAAATGTGACTTGTAATATGAACTATATTACATTTATGGAATTAACTTTCCCAACACTGTCATCCTCACATTTACATAAAACATGTTCAAGCTTGAATAAGAAGAAGCCCTCTCCTGTCCTGCATTTGGAGCATACACAAACACAGCCAATATTAAAACAGCCCTATTTTTGTGTTCACCTCATTTATTCTACCTTTCACCACCTTTTCAATTTCATATGACTCTGGTGAAAAAGTATTTGAAAAAAAGAATTGCTATTGCACCACTGGTTTGCCTCAAGTTAATCAGAGTAACTTCCCTGTTTTAGATTCATTAATTCAAAAACACTGATTCTCTTCCTTATATCTCTGGTTCCATTCAGATTCAAAGTTGAAACTCTGAAGTGGCTGATTCCCAAAGGTGTAAGGTTTAACACTAAGACATACAAAAGACTAACAGGCTTCAGATTCTTCCACATTATTGAATTCTTGTCTAAGTTTCTAATCTTTTTTTTAACCGGTAAACTTCTTTTTCAGCATAGTCCCCTTTTCTTTTATTATTCAACTGTGATCTTACGTACAATTAAAACAGTTTCTTGTCAGTAACATTGTTTTTCATAACCGTAAGAAAATGTTAAACATTGTGTACCGAACTTTTCTTTTGTTGATAGTGAACAACAGATCTACGAGATGAACTGTCCAAACTCTCTGCAGTCTAACTTTCCTCCTCTCTCCCCCTCTTCGTCCATATTGCCCTCTAAATCCAGACAGGTTCCTGAAATGTCCATTTATGTCTCATGTGTGACTTCAATTTCAGTTTGTGAATTAAAAACGCATTCAGTATTTTTTTTTCTGCAGACTCCTCCACTGTGGTACTAGGACAACTTGGTATGATCTTAAAACCATGTTGCCTTACAAGTTTAGTAAAATCCACGCACATAAAACGATCAAGCAAGCAAGGAAGCAAGGAAGGAAGGAAGGAAGGAAGGAAGGAAGGAAGGAAGGAAGG